CCTCCGCTCTGCGCCCTGTGCCGACACCGAGCCAGGTGGGACGGGGTCTGCAGGGCCCGCCGGGCTCTGCTCCTGCGGGAGCCTGACCCTCCTCGCGCGCTCGCTGGGCTGAAGACCTGGCCCGTCATTGCCAGCGTCTGCATTAGAGCAGCCCGTGGTTCCCCCGCGATCACCGCGGTTGCGTTGTCCTTGCGGTGGCGTTCGTGTGCCAAAGACCGAGCTGTTGGGTTGTGCTTGTGTATCAAGAGAGATCTAACCTAAACAGAGCCCTGCAGTGTTGGAGCCGCTAAGCCAAATCAAACAAAACTAAGGGTGTTAAAAAATAAATAAGCCTCCTAAATACTTACTCAATTTCCAGAGGCCTGTAGGCATTTTGGGCATTGCCAGCCAACATGCAAGAAAAGGAGAGAGAGCCATTATAAATCATTTTAGCAGAGAGATGTGCTCCCAAGCGCTGTCCCGAAGGCTGGTGCTCCCAGAGGTGCCCGGTTTCCCCGGTGTGGTTGTGCACGCGCGCGTCTGCAATGACGTGAGCCCGAAAGACTGCCTCTCCCGCCGCCCTGAAAAGGCTCCGCCAAGGAACCTTCTCCTTAAGACAGGCCTCAGGTGATGGTTGTTTTTAAATGGTTTTTCATCACCACGTGAGTCAAAGCAGGAACGGTGCGGGGGCCGTTCTTCCCCGCTCGGCTAGACTGGTTGTGATCAGGCTTATCGCTTTCAACCCGACCGCTGGAAAAGCTGCGTTCGGCCCGCGCGTTTACCCGCTTGGAGTCTTCCTCTTCCAGTTGGCCAGCACGAAGTCGGCGTGGCTGAGGATAGGGGGGAGGCCAAGGCTCTGCGAGACCTCCCAGAAGGGGATGGCGAGGTTTCGGGGCAGAACCTGGAAGGCACCGAGCAGAAGAGGAGGAAAGGGGCCAGGCCGAGCAGCGGTGCCCGTCTGCAGCGCGGGGCCAGGTGGGAGAGGTCGCGCTCCTCCTCCGCACCGGGGAGGAAGGCTTTGCTCCCCTCCGATTGCTCCCGCGGGTTTCCTGGGAGCAGCGTCGGCCGGGGAGCCCAAAGCGCGGGCGAACGTGCTCTGCATCGCTCTTACCTTAACGGTCCCCTCCTCGCCCTCCTGCCAGAGGTAGCCCATGGTGAGGAAGCTGAGCACCAGATGAGCCAAGTGCAGCTCTTCGCGCCCGCTGAGGTCCCGGGTGCTCAGCTGAGGCATCTGCCAAAGAGACCCCCGTGAGCAGGGCGCGTGGTAGGTGGTCCGACGGGCGGCGGAGCCGGGCGAGCCGCTTCGCCCGCCCCGGACACCCG